TGTGGTATGAAAAACTTAACTGTAGAATAGATTTGAATTGTAAACATTTATGATGATTCCTCTTCTGTGCAGGGAAGCCACAACTACTGGCGTTGACTTCAGTTGTTTCCCTGCCTTTCAGCATACTGACTCAGACAGCACCAACGGTCTCACGATTCGTACATCTAGTCTTTCTGTGCATAATTTGTTTTCATAAGCACACATACTCGGCCAGTTCAGAATAGAACAGATGATTTTTCTTATCTGGTCTTACACAGAGAAGTGTTGGTGGAATCAGCCTTTGAGATGTAGTAGAAAGCAAACTGTTAGGTCATAAAAAACTAAATTCCTGAACTACATGGAAATTACAACATACTCAGTGTTAGCTATGTTAAGTATTTCTTAATCCCATTTCACAAGCTATCCCATTCAGCAACTTAATCTTTTCTGGGTTGTGAGTTATTCGTCATACCCACCAACATTTATCACATGTTGCAAATGAGAGGACTTTTTATTTTAAACAGTTTCGCACTAGGAGCTGTATTAGAATTCCCCTGTCTTTTCCACCTGCAGGGACCCTTCCTTGACTTTAACATATTTAAGGAAGTCAAGAACAGGAGAACCTAATATGTTGACAGGTGACTTATCTTGTGGGTTACCCACGTGCAGTTAGATAGTTAGTCATTTATATTTCTTGATGGTTGAGAATAAGCAGACAAGGTGCCAGAGATGTCCGTGACAAAGTCCAATCAACAACAGACCTTCAAAATAACTCAACAAACGTTGAGGGTCTGAGACGCGGGTTTCAATTTATATTTGAAATTGGCTTTGACAATGTTGTCTGTCTTAAAAGAGCCTTTGAATTATGCTCATGTGCTCCAGATTGTAACGTATTTCTACACTTTTACTATTACTGCAGTGTAACTCTTCACATCTTTAACAATAACTTTATCTGTCAAGTCATATAGCACCAGGAATTTGTGTATGGCATTTGAGCTCTATGTGTGTTAACATATGTACCCATGTAGCCTCTACAACTAGATATTGTCCTGTGTAAAGACCAGCTTCTAATGTGGCAGTTTAGTTTTCTATATTTACCTTTTATGAGTTTGAATGCAGTGATACAGCAATGTGCTATCTAGTTGATTGAGGAATTGCCTCCAGTCAGCTTGATAACTAACCCAACTAGACTTTTTAAAGAAGTTTTCGCCCAAATTGACAGTTCCATATTAAAACAGATTAATACGTCTTTTTTACCACAAGCTTTTAAGGATAGCGGTAATTAAACCTCTGCTTAAAAAGCCCACTCTTGATCCAGAGGTTTTAGGTAATTATACACCCATATCAAGCCTGCCCTTCATTTCCAAAATCATAGAAAAAGCTGTTGCTAACCAGCTGTGTGATTACTTAGATAGTAACGGTTTGCTCTGGTTTTGTTTGTCTCTGTACTCGTGTTGTTCTAGTCTCTGAAACCATAGATCACAAGATCCTGTTACAGAGACTAGAACAACATGTAGGGATCAAAGGAACAGCACTAGACTGGTTTAAATCATATTTATCAGATAGATTTCAATTTCTTAACGTCAACAATGACCCCTCCATGCACAGGCAAGTTAGTCATGGAGTTCCACAAGGTTCTGTCCTTGTACTTCACCTTATATATGCTCCCTTTAGGCAACATCATCACAAAGCACCACAAACACTCCCATTGTTATGCAGATGACACCCAGCTGTACATATATATGAAGCCTGATGAATCTAATCACTTAGTTCAACTTCAGGAATGTCTCAAGATCATCAAGGCCTGGATGACCCAAAACTTCTTACTTCTAAATTCAGACAAAACTGAGGTCGTTGTAATCGGCCCAAAACATCTCAGAGAAACACTGTCTGAACAGATACATTGGATGGTGTCAGCTCCAGCTCCACTGTGAGGAACCTTGGAGTTATGTTTGACCAGGACATGTCATTTGACCAACATATAAAACAAGTCTCTAGGACAACTTTCTTCCATCTGCACAATATTAAGAAAATTAGAAACATCCTGTCTCAGAAGGATGCTGAGAAACTAGTCCACATATTTGTTACCTCTAGACTAGATTACTGTAATTCTTTATTATCAGGATGTCACAGGAAGTCAGTGAAAAGCCTCCAGTTGATAGCACGAGTAACACC